CGTGAAGGAGGGCTGCGTGAGCAGGAGGCGGTGCGTGAGGGTGCGGAGGTAGAGGGTGTGGGCCGTGGAGAGCGTTTCGGGATCGTGGGGTGGTTGTGGTGGTGGTTTGAGGTGCGTCGGGGCGGCGGCGCCGGAGCCGGGGCCGGAGCCGGGGTCGGTCCCGGGGCTGGAACAACGGCGCCGCTTGGTTGCTGGCGGTCGAGGCGGACGTCGTGGTTGTGAAGGCGACGCGGACGGCGACGCGGGCGACGAGGGGAGCAGCCAGGCGTGAAAATGGTCCCAGAGGCCGGCGACGATTTCCGTCTGGAAGTAGGCCTCGGTCTCGCCGAGGAAGAAGAGGGCGGCGCTGGCCGTGGTCCACGTGCTGCGCAGGAGCCAGGCGCGGTCGGACCAGCGCTCGCGGAGCGTCACGGCGTCGTCCGAGGCGCCGCGCGGGCACGGGTAGTGGCGGCGGAGCGACGTGATTTTCCACAGGTCCGTGAGGCGGATGTGCGCCCGGCGCAGCGACAGCAGATAGGCGTTGATGGACGAGTAGAGCTGCAGGTCGGACGGCGAGATGACCATGTCGAGCGGCGACGGGAGGTCGATGCTCAGCTGGGCCGGCACGCCAAACAGCATGTTGCGGAACGGCGACGCCGCCACCCGGCCGGCGGCGTCGACGTCGAGGCCCCGGCCCGTCGTCAGCGCCGCGGGCGGTCTGGACCTGGTCAGATGGAGCTGCATCAAGCCCCGGGCCAGGTCGAGCTGGTCGTCTTCCTCGGCGTGTTGGCCCTGCATGGACACGAGCACCGCCCACGTCCGGTTGAGCACGGCCGCCACTTCGCCGTCCTTGACCGTGACGGTTCTGACCCCCCCCGGACCGTCCTTGTCGTACGGCGGCAGACTGTTGGAAGGACCATGTTGTCCTCCTCCTCCCCCTCCCACCCCTGTCGCCGCCGCCGTCGCCGCCGCCGTCGCCGCCGCCGTCGCCGCCCTGCTTCGCCACCGATTGCGGATCCTTTCGTCAGCCTCGTGCGTCAGGGCCATGGCAAACTCGCCCCGTCCGAGGAGAAAGAACTCGCGGAGCAGGTGCATCGTGTCCGAGACCCTGGCCAGCGGCAGCATTCGCTGAAGCGTCTTCTCGGACAGCGACGTTCGGATGGCCTTGATGGCTCGGGAAAGGTCCGCGCTCTCGAGCGGCAGGGACAGCGTCGACAGCTCCGACAGTTTGGCCGCAACGTGCGCGGCGACGCCGTTGGGTGCGGGCGTCGATGCCGAGCGTGTGTGCATGGCGCGGACGTGGTTGAGCGACTTGCCAATGAAGAGCATCGACGACGCCGTCGCGCCCGTGACGAACGACGGCAGATACTCGGCCGCGCAGAAATAGTCGTCGGACGCACCCTGCATCGTGGCCGTCTGGACAAAAAAGTCGTCGGCGCCAAAGCTCGGCAGCCTCCCGTACAGCACCCAGGCCGAAACCTGCTTCAGCCACGCCGTCTCGGCCGCCTGGACCAGGCTCTCGGCCGTGGCGGCCACGTCCTGGTATCCGCTCTGCAGCTCGTCCCGCAAGCGATCGATGAGGGCGGCGCCGCGACACGGCCGGCCGTCCTCGTCCGTGGCCATGATGAAGCGGACCGTGTCCCACAGCCACTCCAGCCGCCTCGTCCACTGCTGGAACTCGCCCATGACGGCCGTCAGGGGCACAATGTTGTAGGCGCCCACGAGGTCCGCGTCCCGGACCAAGACGCTCGCCTCCACGTCGAGCACCTTTTTCTGGAACGCGGCGAGGTGGACGGAGCCGATGGCGGTGGAGACGGCCCGGCAGATGGTGCTGGGGTGCGACGTGGCCACCTCGGACGAGTAGGCGATGAGCTTGGTGTGGAGCTGGCTTATGTGGCCGGCGGAAGAGAGGAGCTGCCGTTCGGGAGGGGTGATGCCGGCGAGGGCGTCCGCCTCGGGCGAGCTCGGTGGACGCAGGAGAGGGGACGGGTGGCCGGACAGGGAGAGGAGGATCTCGTGGAGCATCGTGTGTGGCGAGCCGCCCTCCTGCGCCGGAGAGCGTCTTGTACGTCGTGGGAGAGGAGGACGATGACGCCGAGCAGCTCGAACCGACACATGGAGCGGAGGGCGGGCTGGCTCGTTGGCTCGTTGGCTCGTTGGCTCGTTGGCTCGTGGTGGGAGACGGCGTCGAGATGCTTTTGGACGGGGAGTCGCCGTCTTGAGTGAAGTGACGTGACGGACGTGGTGGCGGCGCGCTCCGACGACGCGAGAGCCACCACGCTCGCACGTGATGCAAGGCGGGTGTGGAATCTTAAGTACCTACTGAGTACCTGGGTACTTATGTAATCATGTGCTGTACATGTAGGTACATAGGTACGGATGTGGATACTTGAGTACAATACGCTGAGTAGGTACTTATCAAGTACTTCCTCACTATACGATGTGTATGTGTGCATAGATGTATCAAGTAGGTACTTAGTCAAGTACATCTGTATTAAAAGTATTTAAATACTTAGATACCTAGGTACCTTGTAGATATTGTGTACAATGTACATGCGTCTTTATTATCCAGATACTTACCAGCTCTCTACTTGGTCTGTACCTGTCCGTCCTCCGTTCACTCGGCCAAATCCGAGTCTCATCTCGAGCGGCCTTCTTTCTCGTTTCCTTCGTGCCCGCGGGTTGCCGCCTTCCCACCTGCATGACTTGCGCCACCGTCGGCCACGGAGCCGCCTTGCGTAGCATTTTCTCCGCCATCGCCGACAATGACCTTGCCGCCGCCCTTGACGTTTCCCACCACCATACCCCTGGCCACGCTCTTCAGGACTGCGCGTCGGGAGACGCCCGTCACGTCAATGTAGACGAGACCGACGTTCTTGACGCCACCGCCCAGATTGCGGGACACCTCGCCCGCCTCTGGACCCCATTTGTGTTCCACGACCTGGCTGACGCTAGACGAGGTGCTGGTGAGCAAGCTGCGCCCGGCTTGCTCCATGCCGTCCACGACGGTGCTAAAGGCCATGAGGCTCTTGTTGAGCATTCCCGGCTTGTACGTGTCAATGACGTAGCCGTCCTTGTCGTAGCCACGCGCGCTGCCGTCTTTTCGCTTAGAGAGGTTGGCGCCCAGGTTCTGCGCGACCTTGGCGATGGACCCGACCGTCGCGGCGGACAACCCGGCAGCCTTGGTGGAGAGTTGATTGATTTTGCGGATGTTCGCGTGCGTCGTAGGCGTGAATGTGACGGGCTTGGCCGTTGGCTGGTTGTTCTTGGCGTAGCTTTCGGCCTGACTGTTGAGGGTCTGCGCCACGTAATCCGACGTCGTGACGAGAAGACGGGATGCTCGCATCCCCATGTTGACAATGGTAGATTTTTTGTAGGCGGGATGCATCCTGTCCTGCTCGTCGTCGTCGTCGTCATCGTCATGGTTGTTGCTATATCCTGGAGCGGGCTGAACATTGATGGCCTGTGAGGCACCCGTAGGCAGCGCAATTTCGACAGGATCTGCGCGGCGACCGGGGTTAGCATATCATGAGCACGTCGGGCAATTTGCACGGGGAGGGATTTCCCTGAGTTTGAGGTTTGAGGTTTGAGGTTTGAGGTCGACGGCATGGTGGCACAAACCTTTGGATCCGGGTTTAATGGCCGCATCTTCCACGACGCGGTACCCGTCGCCCAATTCACCGACGACACTACCGTCTTCCTCGTCCACCAAGACGATACGACCTCCGCTGGGGCCGTCCTTGGAGGCTGAGCTCACGCTGCCTTGGACATAGCCCTCGCCTTGCGTAAAGGTAGTAGGGTCATAGGCAGGCAGCGCTTCACCCGCCGCCTCTCTTGCCTTGGCGGAAGAAGAAGAAGAAGAAGAAGAAGAAGAAGAAGAAGACGTCGCACCCGGTGCCGTCTTCCCACCCTTGGCCCTGGGCGGCGCGGCGCGTTCTAGAAAGGCAGTGCATTGCGCGAGAATGGTCTCAAAGGTATCGACGTCTTCCCGCACGCCAGCGCGGCTTCCCACGGCCGGGAACTCGATGCGCGTAAACGCGCCACTATTGGGGCCGAGATCCCACCGGGGAATCAGGCAGCTCGTGGGGGGCTGATGGTAGATCTGCGTGGTGGCTGGGAGAGGCAGGTCGAGCTCGGGCGGCAGATGGAGATGCAGGTAGAAATCCTCTTCGCCCGAGGCAAAGCCCGACGCGCCAGCAAAGCCAGACGACGTGGGAACCATCAACAACGACAGCGTCTGGGGGCCGGAAGGGTTCAGTGCTTGTTCGGTGCCCTGCGCGATGTGGTAGGCCTTGATGCCGTCGATGGCGTAGAGGAGCTTCGGATCCTGCAGAATGGAGGGGGAAGGGGGTTCTGGTTCAGCTCAGCTCAGCAACCAAGGGGGAAGCGGACGAGGCTTGGAGTCGCGACCTACATTGCTCCCGGAAGCCATGATGGAGAGAGTCTCGAGAGTCCGGACGCGAGAGTCGAGAAGACGAGGACGAGCCGGCAGGGCGAATTGGCAGGGTCCACGACAGGCACGAGGTGTGCGTGCCGGGGTGGTCGAGATTGTACGGGAACACGCCTTGTTCGTCGTGGCGTGCGCTTCAGTTTGACGGCAATGAGGAATACATGAATGCTGGTCGTCGCTCGCTGCAGCCGCGAGGTCTCAAACCAGAATAGAGCCAGACGCTCTGAGGAGTCAGGAGGAGGCGGCGGGCGAAACGCGGGGCTGCGGCTATGACGACGCGGAGAGGCAGGCTAAAACATGGCAGCAAAATTCGGGTCCAATGAAAACGGGAATCGAACCCATCGTCGTCCATCTAGCGCCCACCATGGCCGCACGCCATCCCACACGGGCGGTCCTGTACCTGGTGGCACCGCGCTGGAGGCATCATTTCATCTGCCAGAGCGTCGCTGCTTGCCACTTGTGAATGGACGGCCACCGGCGCCTCGTCAGCTGCGCCGCGATACAACTTGTGTCTTGCTTCTGACAGTCAGCACGAATATGACTTGAACAATCAGCACATACTATCACAAATGGGCGAATGGTTTAGTGGTATAATACTCCCTTAGCATCTGCGAGCTTCTGGCTCCATGCTTGGGAGTGGTCCGGGGTTCGATTCCCCGTTTGTCCATGCTTTTTAGTTTCCTTTTTGGCTTCCACCCCAAAGGTTACAAGATTCCCTTCGGCTCAACCCAACTCCAATTTTCACCCAGGTTCGTATTGGCCTGCGTCATTCGCATCACGGAATGACGCGAAAAAATTCGAACCACGAGAAGGCCACGAGCATTCCACGAGAATTGTCCAGGACATCACATCACCCCCTTTTTTTTCTGGCTGAATCACCCCGCCAATGACCGTCGTCCACCAACTTTGGGGCGCCGGGGCACGCCGCGACAGCAAAGCCACGCTCAAGCAGCCACACCTTTTCTAGGACGTATGAGAATAAACCAGCCAGGTTCTTGTGTGCGTCCAGTGTTGTGCTGGGTCCGTCCTCTCTCATCTGTTTTCGCTGACCGTAGTAGGGTGCGGGTATTGCAAAGTGGCAAGTGCGAACGAGCGATAAACGTTGGTCCTTCCGTGTGGGCAGACAGAACGGGGAAAGAGCAGAGCAACAAGCACGTGCTGGCGGCACTCGGCACTCGTTCTTGTGATGCACCGTCGTGTTCACGAGAAAACCTCGTCGGCGTCTCCTTTCCGCAGCAAAACGAGCATTCAACGTGTCTCCCGCCTTTTCGACGCGCCCCCCTCCGTCGCCGGCCCAAAGGCGGAGGAATCCGATGCCCAGCTGCGCTTCGCACGACTCTCGCACGCAGGCCATCCTGCTCGTGTCACTCACCATCCTCCACCCTCTCTTTCCCTTGGCTGGAGCCCGAGCGATCACGGACCTGGACTCCTGGCCCCTGTCACTGGGACAGCCCACGGCGCAGCGGCAGGACGACGAAAACCTCTGGTGGCTTGCTTGACGTCCAGCTAGCACAGCTTCCGTTTCTTGCTGCAGGAGAGCTGGCCCTTCATCTCTCGTCGCTTTACTCTACCCTATCCCTCTCGGACGTGGAGCCAGTCCAGTCAGTCGCTTCGTTGGCCATGATGCCACACAAGAAGTCACTTGTGCCGAGTTTGCAAAAACGACATGGAACATCCACTTCAACGTGCTGCATACGTGGTTCGTCGTGGTGGAAATCTCCGACCATGCATAGCCATCATGTTTTTGTTCGCGCGAATCCCCAAGCTAGCGTAGAAATATGCGTGAGAAAACTTGGTCTGTCACGATACATTTCAGCATGCTACCCTTGTCAAGTCTCCGAAAAGTTTCGAAGGGATAAGTAGTACAGGCCAGAAAACCAGGGAGGAAAAAAAAAAAAAAGCCCGCTCAGGCTACTCGATACCAGAGTGAACCCTGCAAGTGGCTGGCTGTCCCGGAGTTGACCGAGATGACACGCTGAACACTTTCCGTCTCCTGAGCCCTTGGCATCGAGCACCAGCCACGCGGCTAGCTGTGTTGCGAAAGAAGACGCCTTGCTGGAGAGCTGCACGTGGTGCAGGTCGTTTGCCCTACGACAGCTGTACCCAAGTCGGATCTCGTCGGACAATCGCTGCAAGGCCGCGAAGCCCAAAGTCTATGGGACCTGTTAGATCCGGCGCCAATATCCGCTAATTACCGGCTCTACAAGATGGCGTCCATTTGCGATGATGAAGCGAATGAATGTGGGTGGTCAGACACGCATTGCTAAACTGCCAGAGCCGTCCGCCAAGGCCGAGTACCGTCACAACGATTCGGCCGCCAGAAGAACCGCGCCATGTTAGTCGGGGATAAAATGAAACCGGACATGGCGATAGGCATTCCTTCTCGACGACGAGACTGACACTTGGCAATCGCAGTACTCTGTTGATTGACTGGTGGCATTCGAGCTGCACGTGGTGGTGGATTGATATTTTGAAATATTGGCATTTCGTTCCTTAGGCGTCCTAGAGAACAATGACACTCTCGGCTTTCGAATCGAACAGACAGCCCCGGGCAATATGCAATGAAACGCGCCACGTTCGGGACGTTGGTTACGTTGTAATGATAAACCAATCATGGAGTGACTGGATCAGGACTCGAGAGTCGACACTGTATGGCGCCTGGAATAGGCTGATTTGCGGCGGCGTTCGTCCCTGCCACATTGCGGAATCAACTTTAAAAAAGCGCACGCCGTTTTCATCCTCAATGGACCGGAGGGGGAAAAAGAAGAAAGAGAAAAAAGACCGAACCAGAGAGATCCTTACTTGCGCTTAAAGAAATGTTCAAGATTGAGGCGAGCTGAAGCTGCAAATCAGCAGGAAATATGAATCAACAAATCGAATGTGCCTTTTCGCATCACAGTGCCCCAAAGCATTTTGCCCGGTGCCGAGTACGCCACTAATCACCGCCTCCAGACGCCTCCCGCTGCGCATAGAAAGTCGCACGCGATTTGCATGCCAAAAGGAAACTGAGTCACGGCAGGACCTTGCAGCGGTGGTGGATTTTTGATGAAAGCGGGCACGTCTATTTGTCACTGCCAGCCATGGCTTTGCAATCTGATTCGGTTCGGCTCTTATAAGTCGGGCGGCGGTGTACGTACATATTTACATACATACATATGTATGTATGTATGCACGTACTTGTTGAACGCGTCTGCTCGGCGAGCAAAATGGAAAGACGAAACCTCGACACTGGCTCTCTGAGCTTCCTCAAATCTCCGGCCCATCTGTTCCGCTGGTTACTGAAGTCCAATGAGTCGACTGTCTGAAGTTGAGCTATGGATGACGGCAGCCAGCCGGGAATTTCTCACGCTTCAAATATGATGGGAGTGGCCCAGGGAACGGGCTGTGCTGTGTCTGGGGGCGACGCTAAAAGACAACCATGTGGCCCAGGGCAACGGGCATGATTGCCCGACTTTTCCATCATAGGCGGCGGACGCTGGGTTGTTTGGGTCATCAAAACGATGCGCGTTGCAGAGGCCTCCACTGCTCACTGCTCACTGCTCACTGCTCATGCGACTTGCTTCGCTCTGGAATATCTAGCGGCTTACCTCTATTTTGCATTTTGCACCTTGCACAACGATGACATCATACTTGATCCGGCATACTAGCGGGGTTGTCCTATTGTTCCCAAAACAAGCTTTCGGCTCGCATTTATGGGACGATCTTCTACATCCGAGCGGGTCCCAAAGAAACCAAAGGCCGGGCGGCATGCCAAAGCTGCACCGGTCCAGCTCTCGGACCACGAAACCCCGAGTCCCCGGCGTTGTCACGTCGATACTTCCTGTCCCGGACTCCAGTGAGCACTATGCGGGCCTATGATGGGAACAGCGCTGTTGGAAGACGGAACGGGCTGCCTTGAGGCACTGTGTGCGCCCACACACCCGCATCACCCTATTACATAGCAGAGCATCTGCTATAGCAGATCGTCTGGTGACACGATGGAGCGGCCGAAGGGGGGTCCAGTTTTGATGACAGATGGATTGCACAGCGTGAATCTCAGTTCGTCTCCTTCATCCTGTGTCTTCACGACACTGGTAGGGGCCAAGGGTCTAGGAGAATCTTGTGGCTTCTTGGGGTCAGGAACAAAGACAAATATGCAGCATTGCCTTGCCATTCACCCCTGACGTTCAGTTACGTTGCATTGGCGGATGAAACTTGTCCACGCGTGCGTCGGCGCAGAATCGTGGTTCGGCGGAAGTGCCACCCCTCGATTGTTGGGCAGATTCCTCATTCAACGAGCGGGACCTTCACGACAACGGCTTAAAAAAAAAAGGGTGTAGGCTCTATGGCGGGGGGGAAAGCATGTCCAAATCAGAGACAGCCTATGAGCAAGCAAACCCACTGGCTTGGAAAACAGGACAATGTCGGGTTCCCCAATCCGACGAGGGCGCCATCGTACCCGCGACTTTGTGCCGGCTCGACGGTATCGCCGCCGACGCCCCACGTTGTACCAACCCAGATGCATGTCGCAGAACGCACAGAAAACAACGCGAGACGGGCTATCCCATTCAGAGGCGCGTTCCGTCCAAGAGACGAGCAGAAAGCCCGGATGAAAAAAAGCTCACCCTCACACACAAGGTCTGCACTCGCCGTCCAGACCGGGGATTTGGCTGGCTGAGGCTGGCTGGCTGAGGCTGGAGCGGGACCCAAGCGACCCAAGCGACCCAAGCCAAGAGCGAATAGCAGCCATGTCAACTGCATCAGCGGACAAGTTTTCGCCCCTTCCTGTGCTGTAGCTTGCAGCGGTGATCTTGGCCTCGGGCCTATAATCCTGTGCGGAGGGGGTATATGCGGAGGGGCTTTGTAGCTGCTGCTGCTCATCTCGTCAGCAACCTACTGGCCTAGATACGATTTGTGGCCGCTGAGGCGATGGAATCGCCTTCATTGCTTTGAACGGGACGAGAATGCTTTTCTGTGCTTGTGCTTTGTGCTTTTTTTTCTTTTTCCTTGCCCCCCCCCCTCCCCCCCTTTCTCCCTTTCTTTTTTCCCTTTCCCTTTCCCTTTCCCTTTCCCTTTCCCTTTCCCTTTTCCCTTTTCCTTGTTCTTTTTTGTCTTGATTCTTGTTTTTCTTATCTTATTCCACCCCCTTTTATTCATTCATTCATTCATTTATTTTTTACAAAAAAAGGAATGATCATGTTTGAGCGCGCCATGGCTGTATTTGATGCCCCTCCGCACTTCTCACTCTTTTGTCCCACGCTGCAACCATTTTGCCCTCGCAAGTCAAATCTCAGTGTTTGGGTATGACAGCCAAGCCACATGGATCATGTTCCATTCAAGGGTGCCGCGGTGGTGGGGGTTGGGGAATCGAGAGCCAAGCCGGGCTTGTCCACCAACTAGCACCACGTTTGCCAGGGAGAAACAACGAGAGGGCGTGTCGTTAGCCGCTTGGTGTCTATCCTTTTCCTTCCTTCCTTCCTGCTTCTTCTGGTGGTTTGCGGGGACTTTCATGTGCGTCTGACAGTCTGTACTGCGTGCACGAAGTGTATTCGCCTTGTGCCCTTCCAGCTGCGGCGTCCGGATTCAAGATGTCACAACACGCTCCTCTTGCTGTCAATGGACAAGACACGATCTTGAGCGGCAGTCGTCTTGACAAAGCAGTCGATTTGCTATGCTCTAGGACTTGTT